TATATTAAAAATATAAATATTTCATTATTTTGTATTGATTGGGTTCAATAACCGGTTGGATTTTATCAATAAAATGTCACGTGTCCGACGTAGTACTACGGTAGTAATATATGAATGAAAACGGTTATAAAACATCTCTACTAAAGGCAATTTTTTTTCTATCATTATATAAAAATATGTTTTTTAGTAAGGGATGTTTATTTAAGTTTTGGAATTTTTTGTGTTACCTATTAAATAAAATATAGAAATGACCTAACTAATAATAATAGCAAACTGCATCTGTGCTTCTACGTGTAAATGAATAAACTAGCTTCTCGCATCTATTAAATGGTATTAATTAAAATTACTAATTAGAGTTTAAAATATTCAGTAGAGTTAGCATTAAATATGCAAAGATATACGGAAACTGACGTGTGACATAATATTAATGTTTATTTGATGACGCTGTTTATTTAGAATTACTTTAAATTACATTTGTTAATAAATATAATGTTTCAAAAAGGGTTACCTCCTCGCTTAATTATATCACAATTAGATAACTGGAACAACCCTGGCCTTTTTATGACAATAAAGTTTTGATAGGGTGATTAACAATTATTTTCGGACATTGACGCATTATGATCTCAGTATATGTAATTTTGATTTTTCTTTAATTAATTTGAAATATGTTTTATTGTCAGTAAATATCTATAAAACGAAGATTAAATATTATATTTTTGCATTGCTTTAAAGGTTTCTCTTTAACGTTAGTATGAGTATCTTTTGGCTATGACTATAGTCATTACACTAACTATTAAGTGTAATACTCCCTATGTGTCCGGTTTTGGATTAAGTCCAATGTCATTTTAAATTAGGAAGTTATTATGGTTGTACCTACTCAAAACTATGTTTTTGTTATGCCACAACTATTTGCGCAACAGGTACCTTCAAAGGGACGTTATCAATAGAGTATATTTAAAAATCTACTTTCAACTCATGTAATTTTTTGCTATTTTGTAAAGTTATCTTTCTTAATCATTTTTTTATTGGATTAATTGCCATAGTATCGTCAAGGAAATCAGAAGTAACATGTTGAATTATTTACCGCTACTTTTAAAAATATATGTGCTCAAATCTTTAACAGATTTCAGATAAGCCTAAGTGGTTTGAAGATAGCTGATAACATTGATAACAGTATTTCATATTTATGCTTCTACGTATAAGGAATTGTTATACCATATTTTTTATGTATTTGTACAGGTACTCCCTACCTATTTATGCAAAATATTGTGCAAGTGCTATTCTGTAAGAGTTGTAAAAATGTTTCATTACATCCGGATGACGGATGAGATTGATAAAGCAAGCGATGACGGCATTGAAAAACACTTTAGAGAATGAAGTGCACTTAAAGGGAATGGAAAAACTAGTCATTTCAAGAAATTGACTATGGCTTATTTTAAAAACAAAGCTACTACATATACCTTTATGTTCTTTCAATAAAAATATTTATTTTAGTTTTAATTTAAAAGAAATCGTAATTATTTCCAAGATCCTTTCATAGTCCCTAGAAGTTTGAAAATAATAGCAAAGTCCGTAGGAATAAGATTTAACTTATTGTTACTATAAGTAATTTATCATCCCAACATAAGTATTTATGTTTTGCAATTGCTTTGGTCCCTCGAGCCGGATTTCGCCGAAATTAATTGTGAATTGGCGATGACGTAGGAGAGCAACAACCACTTAAAAAATCATTAAGTATGTAAAACATAATTTCACGTGATGTGTGATGTATTCATGATAATCTACAATACGATAAATTAATTCGGACTTGTGCGTTTACTACTACTACGTAAGTTCTATTGTGTTTTAATCACTAATTTTGAATTATGTAATTTAAACATACGTTAAAAGTTTCAAGGTTTCTGTTTGCTCTCTTCTCTTTTAATTTATTGTAGTTTATAAGCCACAAACTCTGATTTTTATGTCATATGTGCTAATTATGTAAACAAAATGCGATAAGTGAAAATACTTACTGAAGGTATTTGTACGTATTTTATGTAGGTAGTTAATATAATAATGATTGATAACGAACTATTTCTCTATTCTATAGTTTATTTGTAAATTATTTAATTGATGACAGGGGTAATAATTATTGGGCTTCGTCTGTAGGTACGTTTTACGTTCAGATCAATACCAATTTAGATACAATTATTGAGGAGTTACGTAATGAGAATAGAACATGTAAATTACAGGATCCAGACACTAAATGTAGGCACCGTAATAACCTAAGAACGTTTAAAATTTCAAATTCCCCAAAGTTGCAATTAATCATAATAAAGCTTCAAATGCGTGCATAGATATTGCAATGCTGAAAATTTGTGCCAACTTTGCCAACTTGATATGTGGTAATAAAACACACGATTTGTAAGTTAATGAAATGCTATGGTATCAAAATATCACATTCCATCTCTTTATAAAATATTTACAAATGAAAATAACTAAAACATATTGCTTCACCAATGGCATTATATGTTAAATATGAATTTAACATTCTAATTCCTCTGTGTTTTGTTGTAAACGATGCACAATTTTGATGAGAGTTGTATCACCTTATTTAGTTTTGTTTAAACTATTTTCACATCGCAAAAACAAAAATCGAAACTAAAAAGTTTTATTGTTCATTACGTTTGTTGTTCTCTGTTTCAATTCTACGATTAGCTGTAAGAGTAACTCTAAAAGGCCATACTTTTCCTTGGTGCACCTGCAGGAACAAGGTACTAGATGATAGGGTGCCTAAGTTGGTATTTATCTAGAAAAGAATCAGTGAAGCATTCAAGAACAAGAAAAAAAACTAGAAAGCCAGTTTTAGGTACTCATCAAAAACCTTTCTTAACATTTGGCATTTATACAAGATGATGACTAGCAGAACTGAAACAGAGTAGCACTCAGAACTACAAAAACTTCAGGTAGCTTATAAAAATTTCGAGTAAAAAATACCGAATCGTATACTTAATAGTGCTTGAGTTTTTTGTAATTAGAGTCCCTTTTCAATGCGTATAGCCAGTTTGACTAAGTCCTTCTAAAGGATATCCTGATTGATATTCTAACACCTGCAAACATACCCCATTATACGTATAATAAAAATATATCATGTAAATGTAGTATTTAAACCATTAATGTTTTTTAAATTATGTAATAACCCAGATAAATATTTTTTGAAGGTAAATGTAAGATTATGCTTAGATAATAATTTTCTATAAGAAAAAACACGTGTATTGTTTTAGTTATCTTGATGTGCAACTAGAACAATTATCGTCATAAAGGGAAATAAATAAAATCTGAACCATTTATCTAAACACTTACGTAACAATCAAGCCATTATCAAATACTCGAAATTAATGAGAATGATTTTTTAATTTAACAGTTAGACAACTGCATAATTGATTATGTATCAATTAACGTCACGATATTTTTTATATATGTAATCAATATTTCAAATAGATTATTTCCTAATGGTGTCATCATTTCTTTATTAATTCCTCAAAAATTGGTACAAAACTTACCAAAATTATTTAAATTAGTAATGAGCAACATTGCAAAGCAAATGTATTTTGTTTTGCTTCAGTTCTAATGGACCAACTTCTCGCATAGTCCTTACATCTTGCAGACATGGGATAATAGGTGTGGCGCCATGTAATAATTCTACCTCTTTTGAAAATGGTTTGCAGAGGTGTAAATTTCACTCAGTCGGTGGTAAAATTATTTCTCCTTCACAAGTCAAGGGTATTGATCATTTAAGAGACCCTCGGCTTAATAAGGTATCTGTGCATCATTTAGGTAATAATTTCAATAATTACTAGTATATCTTTCGAATCTTTGACAGCAAAGAAATGACTAAACTTATCGCCGTTTGCTTAGTATTGTTCAATTTCTTAAAGAATCGATTTCTATAGTTTATATATTCTATACTTAATATATTAGTAACATTAAATGGAATAGCATGGTTAATTAATCTTTTAGGGGTTGGCATTCACGTTAGAAGAAAGGCAGCTTTTGGGTATTCACGGTTTACAGCCTCCAAGGTTTAAAACGCAAGAAGAACAGATAGAAATATGTCAGGAGTCAGTTCGACGATACAACGACGACCTTAATAAATATTTATATTTAGCAGAATTGCAAGATCGAAATGAGAAACTATTTTTCGGTTTGCTCATGGAAAACGTAGAAGAACTTATGCCCATCGTCTACACACCTACCGTAGGTCTGGCATGCCAAAAGTTCGGTCTCATTTACCGACGACCCAGGGGACTATTTATTACTATAAACGACAGGGGGCATATTTTGGATGTTCTCAAAAATTGGTATTAAATATTAAGTTTCTGTAGTAAAACATGAAGATTTTGATTTATAATTGTCACAGGCCCGAAGAGAGTGTAAGATGCGTTTGTGTGACCGATGGTCAACGTATTTTAGGTTTGGGCGATTTGGGCGCCCAGGGCATGGGTATTCCCGTGGGCAAACTCGCCCTCTATACCGCTCTAGCAGGCATTCCGCCGTACCAATGTCTCCCTGTACTGTTGGACGTCGGGACAAACAATGAAGTGTGGACTTAACGTAAATAACGGTTCTACATAATTATATTCGACATAATTTTAGAACCTGTTAGAAGATCCCTTATACGTTGGACTACGACATAAAAGAGTTACGGGGGTTGATTATGACGAGTTTGTCGACGAGTTCATGGAGGCGGTAGTCCGAAGGTACGGCCAAAATACACTGATTCAGTTTGAAGACTTCGCCAGTCCTAATGCCTTCAAATTCTTGAACAAGTATCGTAATCAGTATTGTACTTTTAACGACGACATTCAAGGGACTGCCAGTGTAGTTCTTGCCGGAGTGCAAGCAGCCCAAAGGGTCACTGGAAAAACTCTTCCTCAAAATAAGTTTGTCTTTTTCGGCGCTGGAGCCGCGGCTTTAGGTATTGTCTTTTTGTTTTTTTTTTTTTTAATTATTACTAAACTAAACTTTTCTAACAACAATAATGTTTTTCAGGCATTGCTTCGTTGATAGCGCAAGCGATGGTAATGGAAGGACTTTCACTTCAACAGGCGAGAGATCAAATCTGGATGATGGATATAGATGGGCTAGTTACGAAAGACCGGGATCCCAAATCGTTACTAGGAGGGTTAGGACATTTCGCCAAAGATAAGCCACCTCTTCGAACTTTAATAGACGTTGTCAACGAAGTCAAGCCCCAAGTTTTAATAGGTAAGAAGATTTGATAAATTGATTATTTATTTAGGAATTTTAACCACGAAAATGTTCTTTAATAACAGGGGCGTCCACTGCCGCAGGAACTTTCACACCTGAAGTCTTAAATAGCATGGCGAAAACAAACGAAAGACCAATAATTTTCGCTCTGAGTAATCCAACTTCGAAAGCAGAATGCACAGCCGAACAAGCTTTTATTCATACCCAGGTAAGACATATCATATTTGTTGTTATGGTTTAAGACTCGGCCTTTGCTCGCCGAATGAATTCAATTACAGACGTGGCGAGTTTCACGGCTCAAAATGTTAAAACTTCAAATTGCGGCAAGCCTTTTTGCATATTGCGGTTTACAGGTCGTGAATGTATGAATGTATGGCTGTGGCGAGTTTCGATTTACATGCCGATCTATGTGGCGAACTTGAATTGGTTCAAATATGTAAAAACTTTAAATTGCGGCGAGTCTTTTGGCGTGAAGCATAGTTTGGCGAGTTTTTATGAGACGAGTTTGACTTGGTTCAAATCGATAAAGATTTTGAATTTCGGCGAGCCTTTTGGTGTGAAGCAAAGTATGGCGAGTTTCTATGAGGAGTTTGACTTGGTTCAAATCGGTAAAAACATTGAATAGCAGGGAGCCTTTTGGCGTAAAGTACAGTCTGGCGAGTTTTTATGAGACAAATTTGACTCGGTTCAAATCGATAAAGATTTTGAATTTCGGCGAGCCTTTTGGCGTGAAGCAAAGTATGGCGAGTTTCTATGAGAGGAGTTGGTTCAAATCGGTAAAAACTTTGAATAGCAGGGAGCCTTTTGGCGTAAAGTACAGTCTGGCGAGTTTTTATGAGACAAATTTGACTCGGTTCAAATCGATAAAGATTTTGAATTTCGGCGAGCCTTTTGGCGTGAAGCAAAGTATGGCGAGTTTCTATGAGAGGAGTTGGTTCAAATCGGTAAAAACTTTGAATTGCGGCGAGTCTTTTTACGTAAATAACAGTCTGGCGAGTTTTTATGAGACAAATTTGACTCGGTTTCAAATCGATAAACATTTTGAATTGCGGCGAGACTTTTGTCGTGAAGCACAGTATGGCGAGTCTCGGCTCAAATCGGTAGAAACATTGAGTTATGGCGAGCCCTTTACTATACATTAGTTACGCTCAAATGACTCGGTTCGAATTGATGGTGCACCGTGTGGCTAGTGCGAATTGAAGCCATTATTTAACCTTATATTAGATACTATGGCAAATTTTGTTTTTTTTTTAGGGCAGGTGTCTATTTTCAAGCGGTTCTCCATTCCCTCCTGTCGAATATGAAGGAAAAATATACAAAACTGGACAAGGAAATAACGCGTACATATTTCCCGGAGTTGCGCTTGGGATTCTGGCGACAGGAATGTATCATATAAAGGAGGAAGTGTTTTTGATAGCAGCCAAAGCAGTAGCTGAAACATTGACTCCTGCGGAATTGGAGTCTGGAACTTTATATCCGCCGTTGAAACAAATCCAAAACGTGTCAATGCATATTGCAGTCAAACTTTGCGAATATGCCTACGAAAAAGGTGAGTGCGAAAAAGAAGTTGTTAATTTCTTATTCATCATCATCATAAGGTCATCAGTCCTAAGACTGGTTGGACACGTACCTCTACTCTTTCCTATTTTGAGCTAAACTTCGCATTTCCCTAAAACTAGAACAGCCCACATCCTTAACTATTTGCGAAGAGTAATCTAATCTAGGTCTACCTCTACCCCTCCTAACTCCTGTTTCTGCCTCTAATATGTCTCTGACTAGACCTTCATGCCTGAGAAGGTGTCCTACCAACCTATCTCGCCTATTTTTTATTGACTTCCATAGAGTCCTCTGTTCTCCTATTCTCTCCAATACCTCTTCATTTCTAACCTTTTCTACCCACGATATCCTCGTCATCCGCCTATAACACCACATTTCGAACGCTTCTAACCTTTTCTTTTCCGCCGCTCCCACTGTCCATGTTTCGCACCCGTACAACGCCGTGCTCCAAACATACACCTTTAACAACCTTTTTCGAATTTCTAGATTAACCATTCGCGAGCATAGAAGTGACTTCTTTTTATTAAGGGCGACACGACCCTGCGCTATCCTCTGCTTTATATCCCTACTACTCCTTCCATCCTGACTTATCTGACTTCCTAGGTATCTGAAATCAGCCACTTCTTTTAATTTTTCGTCTCCTATCTTTATATTCGCCCTTTCCCTACTTTTTCTTCCCTTGCATATCAGTATTTTAGTTTTACTTTTATTTATTTTCATACAGTACTGATCTGTCAGTACCGCTTCCATTTTATTTAAAGCTATCTCTAGGTCCTCCTTGCTAGATGCTAATACTGCTATATCAAATTTCTTATTAACAACTTTTTATTTATTAGCTGTTTCTTGTTTAAAGGTTTGGCGTCGGTCTATCCCGAACCTCAGGACAAAATGGCATGGGTGAAAACGAAGATATTTAGTTATAAATATGAGCCTTCCTTACCCGACACCTACCAATGGCCAGAAGCAGATACTGTGAAGCCAAAAAGGGAAATAAAACCCGTAACCGTTCACGGGTAAGTCAAAAAGTACCTACCCGCATTTTAGTTTTTGAGGTTCCTAAAATTGATTCCGAAAAATTTAACCGTTAATCACTTTACAAATTATATCGAGCAGTGTAGTTAATTTGTTTTATTCTATAGTGCAACTAAAGCATAGGCAGAAGGTGAACTGTAACGTAAGTCTCATGTGAGGGTGTTTAGTTTTGTCGATTCACCACAAATAAAAATACTAAACTTTAATACATATTAAGCATCGACTTGAGGAAGACAAAATTATTAATTTCACAATTTAGAGTCGGGGCAACTGATATTTTAATAATAGAGCTATCAAAATATGTTTTTTTTTTATTTGATGGCAATTGCTTTTTGTATTTCTTAAGATCCTATTTTATTTAGGGTTGTTACATAAGGATCTCTACGTCGTCTCGGTAAAGTTTCCATAGTAAAATTGAAAGGTAAAAAAGTAAATTTGCCTGTGAATAACTGCAATTTTTGCTTCTTAAAATATTTTGAGATGCTTTTTATTTTATTTGCCTCTTTTTTAAGAAATTTCTTTCGAGTTTACTTCTTAGATTTTTCATACATAATTATGTTGATATTTAGCCGTTATAAATAAACAATTGAGACCAGCATATACAGCATAAGAAATTGAAAGTAATGAAATGACTTATTCATATAACTTTTAAGTTTTTATTCTGTTTCATTAATATAATAGTGACATTATTAACCAGCTACGTCCATTTTCAGTTTTTGATTTATATTTTTTAGCAAGGAATAACAAACCCTTTACGTTAACATTTTGTTTAGGCTTAGACTTTGGGAGTTTTAATTTATAATGTTGTGATGCAATGAATGCTATCGTTTTAATTTTAACAAGCATGGTGATAATTATATGTAGTTGTTGCTTTTTCGATCCAATTTTGAAAATAGAAAGTAGAAATTGGAAAATGCGATAAAGAAATAATTAAACCAAAGGGAGACTCACTTTAGTAACCAGAAATCTTGTTCATTGTTTTACTCTAAAAGTCTTATGTTGATACAGTAGAGGTAGGTGTCCACAGTGAATAAGTTTTATGGTAATTAAGGCGAGTCCCTTTTTGGTTTATTTGAAAATAGATTTTATTAAATGTGCCTAATATTTATAGATTGGCAATAATTACAATTGAAAAACGACTAAAGAAAGTTATGTTTGATTTTTCACAGATAATAGACTATAGAATAAGATTTTTACCTAATTGTTAAATTGGGATTATTTAATTTTATTTACTTTTGTTAATATAAAATTAATATTCCTTTAAAGGAAACGTTAAAGCAAGATTGAACAAAGACAGCTGCAAAAAAGAAGATGTACTAAATTTCTCGTATATTTATATATACATATATCTTTAAAGTTTTACATGGG